CAGTTTCAAGGTCGGCAAAAGCTTTCAGTTTCAGCTTCACTAGCTGATGGTCCCGTGTCTGCTTCAACTTCGACATCAAGGTCATCTACTTCCTACACACTTTCAATAAGTTCATCATCATTTAGAAATTGAAACCCAGGGTCTGACGAATCACACACACCCTTCCATTCTGCTATATTCTCAGCACTAACTTCTAAACATCCAGGAATTTTCAAAAGAATGTTTCTTCATTCCTAAGGTGACACATCATTCTCATCTTCTGCTGTCTCTTCCCTTTCTTTTCCTTGAGCTTCTTTTTCCTTTTCCTTCTCTTCTTCAGTTAATTCTGAAAAATTCTAAAAGCGATTCGGATAATCGAAGTTCAGATAATTGGAATTGTACTGTAATCACAAGCCACCAGTATAAAACATATAGACACATTAGGTATTTTTTGCAAGCAGGCAAGGTGAAAAATATGCAATGCCTTTGCCAGGAATAGAACCGCGGACCTCTGGAATACGTGCACAGCATGCAGACCACCACACCACGGAGGCATGCCAAGAGAGAGAAATACCTTATAAGCATAAGAAAATAATTTCTATGAAGACAAACTCAGAATTTTTTTTTTTTTTTTTTTTTTTTTTAATTTCTGTACAGATAAAAATTGTTCTAAAGCAGAGCAGTTTCCTCATCAATTGCTAAATCATCAAACTCTTTTGTAAGTAAGGACAAAGTGCAGAATTAATGTTGGCTATGAAACTTGTTTGTTCATGTTTCTTTTAAAATGTTTAATGATGCTGCTTTTCTGTTCTAGAAAATGTTCGATGACAGCAATAAAGCTAAGGCTATGACCCTGGGATGTACAAAAATATCATATTTATTGTCATTTGGTTTAACTTCATACTTCAGGAAGATGCTCATTTCTGATTCTGAGGACACCCAGTTCGTAATAGGCTTCAATGAATAGAATTGTCTAATGGACCTTTTTGTTAGATTTTGGGATAATGTAAAAAATGAAGTAAGCACAAGATACCTCACTTCAGTTTTTGAGAAGGGGCATGCTACTGCTAAATGATGTTCTGAGAAGTTTTTTGAGGGAACCTCAGAACTAAATAAAAAGAAATTTCTACAAATATCTTTGGATGGGACAAATGTCAATCTTAGAGATATGGCTACTGCTGCTGTCTAGACCTGGTCTTTGACCAGTTGTGCATACAGTGTTGTGAAATTTGCTTATTATGTAGAAGTGTGTTGCCCTCTTGAGAACGATGCATGTTAGTTTGCTTGTCCCTATCCCTCCCTTTGTCTTCTCAAGGAAAGTTTGACAATCAAAGCCTTTCTTAGCAGATCAGTTCCTGTGCCATTTCTGCTCCCTGCAGAGACATAATAAAAATTAAAACATAGGTATTTTGCATCTGCGTCCCACACAATAAAGCTTCTCAATGCCCATGACAGCACATTTTTGGGCACTGATGCTGTAGAGGACGACTTCTCAGATGTTTGAAAGAAAATTTAGCAAATAATAATGACTGTCACATATTAGGTATTGGGTCCTGTGGTTTTCATGGCATTCACACTGCCTTTAGAGCTGGGCATAGAGCTACTGACTGGAATTCAAGTGCATTATTTAGACGTACATAGAGAATTTAAAGGTAGTCCTGCTCAGCAAGAGAAATATATTGCTATCACCAATTGTGTGACTTTTCTGCTAAAATTTTGTAAAGATGGTATGAAAATATACCTGTTGCTGAGAGAGCTATGGATATTTTTCCTCATGTGAAAAAATATATGGAATCATCTCAGTTGCCAAAGATTATATCAGTTGAAAGACAGAGACCCTCCTTTTGCAATTGTTCCTTTGTTTCTTCCCAAAGGAACAATGATTGGGATCAAATGATTGGGTAAACAAATGATTGGGATCATATGATTTTAATATTGACGGAGATCCAACACATTATCATAAAGCAGCTTCATAGTTTCTTTACACATGCACCATAATAAGGCTCTCAAATAAGGATTCGGTTCTTCTTAGTGCTTCCTCCCTCAAATTTTGAATCCAAAATTACTGCATTAATATATTTTACTTTGTGTTAGAACCATCATAAATGAAATACTGGTGCTCCATGGAGCTTTAGGGGAGAAACCGACTTGAAAATTGAATTGAACTGGAGAATCTGTGCAATTTTATAGTTAACAAAAGGATAAAATGGAAGCACGACAAGTTCATTAATATTATTTCTAACAGTGGAATGTCTTCTTTGATGGGAATCTGAAAATTTTTTCAGGGCTTTATCAATAATCACAGGAGAAAATCCACGGTCAATCGCAACTGCTCTCAAATAATTGAACACTTTCAGTGTTCCATGGAAAAATCAAATACGCAATTAAAATTCAATACAATGTAAAATAATTTTCATATAGGACTGTAATCAGAAAATGTAAATGACTTATTCACTCATAAATTGATTAGTTATACAAAGGTCACTCTAAATTTTTTAGATATGCATAGACGAAAAGTAACAGAAAAAAAAAAAAAAATTAACAGTTAGATTTGAAAATATGAACTGTTTTAGCCTAGTAGACGATTTTTTATTGGTTAAGTAAGTTACGAGAGAATAAAATTTAGGCAGAAGGAAAATGGAGCTGACACAAGAACTGCTGTGATTTCTATGATTTTAAAGTGTGATTAAATCAAGAAGAATGTGTTCAATATCTACAATTAGCGTGTGGAAATGAAGATCCATCTCGTGCTACTATATTCAGGGGTTTTAGAGTATTTCACTGACATCTCTTCAGGATGAACAACACACAAGAAGGCTGTTGTTAGCAGTAATCCTGGATAATGTGTCTGTGATACGGAAAATGTTAACCAATGATAACTGCTGTGCCTATCAAATGATACAGAAGGAACTTAACATTGGATCTGCCACCATATATAAAATTATTTAGGAAGAATTGCATATGAAAAAACTAGTTAGCCATTAGTCTTCCCATAATTAAACTGAGCACCACAAAGAGGAGTCAGAATCAGTAAAGAAACCCTTAAATTACTTAAAGATGGTGGCGACTATTTCTAAAATCGTAAATAGCAATGAAACATACATACCATTTTATTGACATTCCAACATGTCAAGAAAGTAATTATATGTGTCTTTGAAGATTATCCCATGCCCTCAATCGTGAAAAGACAACATGCCCTGAAAAAGTAATGTACGCCAATTTCTTCAGATATACAGGACTATTCAAAGCCATCATGCTGGAAAGACAGAAAGAAGACAGTCACAGCTAACTGGTATACCACTAAGTACTTTCCAGAAATTCTTCAAGAAACAAATGTTAGAGGATTCGACCACCATGACAATGCATCTTCTCATCCTACAAGATTGACAGTTGAGTTTCTTGAACAGAAACACATCAAAGTAATAGAACATCCACTGAACTATTCAGCCGATCTAGCTATGTGTGACTTTTGGCTATTTTTTTAAATCTAAAAAAGAACTTAAGTGGACATCATTTTGATTCCAAAGATGAGATTGATGAGGCTATAAATGCCTTTTTTTCATTCCATGAAATAAATGGTTTGAGGCATTTAATCTTTGGACAGAAATGCATTGATGCTAGAAGAGAGTACTTTGAACACTCATAAAATTTTGTAAGCATAACTATATCTAAAATGTTTCAGAGTACTTCTCATATATGTGGTGTCCTAAACTTAATACACACTTAACTGCAGTGAGAAATGATATCGTATACTAAGACAAATATAGATGAGTGCTATATAAAATTCCAGCTCACTCCATCCCTTTGATTGTCAGGGAAAGAGTTCATTCACTGGCATCCAAAAGGGCAGGCTGTAGGTTGATTATCTAAATGAAAGTATTGGGTGTAGAGAAGCATAAAAACAAAAGGAAAAAAGCTCAAGAAAGAAACTTAAAGGAAAGGGTTGAAGAGGCAAAGATTGATTTTGAGCTTCAAGTTAGCATAGTAGTGCATTTCCACCAAACAGACAGACCCCTTTTTCTTTTCTGCCAGTAAGACATTTGAATTTCAGTTTTACATTGTTATACATTAGTGTGCCTCTTCAGTTCATATTTTAATTTTGAGCAATGGATGTGGTTTATTTTGCTGATTTCCAGGAATCATATCGATTCAATATTTTTAATTAAATTTACATAAATCTTGCATCATAATATGTCTTGATATTAATGAAGGTAATGCTACTGCTAGCACTAGAATTGAAAAATTGTGCAGAATAAATAAAAATTGTTATCTATTACTCTGAATTTTTGCCTTCCTAACCTCATACTTCATTATTGTTTCCCTCTCTGTATCGTCAAATAATTTATGCATGAATGTTATTGCATTCTTCATCAATGAAAAATCAAACTCATCTTGACTTGAACTGATTCCTTCATTGTATTCCATGCTTACTAGGCTCCATAACTTTGAAAATAATATTCCTATTGCCACAACTGTCAGGTTCGAAATAATGTCGAAGACGCATATATAACAATAAATCGAAAAAATATATTCAAGATTAAAGATTGGCAGTAGTTTTATATCCGTGTATTGTTGCATACCCTCATTAAGCGATATTGCTCAATAAACATCGCTACCACTCGAATTATCGTGACAAACCGAGGGTCACCTCTTGAGTTACTCCAATCAAATCAAGTGGTGACTGAGAGTTACCTTTGTAGTGCAAAAGGTTAATCCAGTTTGTGCTCTGACAGCAAGATAAAACTACCAACGATTTGGTTCCACTTTGGTACTGTAAATGAGGATCCATTCCTTTGTGCCATTGACATCATATTTGAATTCTTTAACAAAACATAGTGAGAATTTGAGATTTATTGATTTAAGTGTCATATTTTTATGGTAAATAATATAATGTCTAATAGTATAACTGCAATCTTTTATATTATTCACTTGTTAAGTTTCAGAAATAACTGTTTCTTTATAAAGATTATCTAAATGCAAAACTATTTAAAGTTGTTATTAATCTTTTCTGTATTTTGCAGATGTGGATGAAATGATATTTATGCTCACAGATAACCCAGTATGTTTTATTTTTTAATTAATTTTATTAGAAAATACTTTTGTTGTAAAATATATAGTATCTTATTTGAAATTATTAAAAATTAAATTAAACATTGAGCGAAGTAAAATGTTATGACATTATCTGACAGTTTATGATGTGGAATTTGCATGTCAATTTATCTGTACTTTGTTTACCACTTTTAATTTCCATAAGCTATGACAGTATTTCTGCGTGATATAGTTAGAAATGTCTTTGTTCGTTTTGCGTACAATTATATGTTTACTGAAGCTCTGAAAAACATATTTAAGATAAAAAAAGGGGTGAAGCAAAGACTGTAAAGACAACTCATTTTTATTTAACTTATAAGCGAATGCAAAATAGCAGAGAAAGTTTTTATATGTTTCAAATGTTACAAAACTGTGTAAATATTAGTTTGGCAAATGTTTTTCATTGTTGTAATGTAGAAAATTCTGTGTTTATCCATTTTTCTCATTTAAGCAACTTTTGAAATATTAAAGAAATCTTTGATATCTTACTTTACCTTACTATTATATTAAGTGTGCTATTTTTAGTATATTTAGATCTTGCAAATTTTACCTTTTTATAACATATTTATATTTATTTGTGGTAATAAATGAAGAAACATATTAAATTTACCTAATAAAGGTCATGTTTCAGCCTTGCCGACAGACTGTAAGAGAATGTGGCCATACTTGTTTGTATATGGTAGACATTTTTCTTCATGTTCTTTTGCATTATCAGAGTTTGGGAAGTTTACAACCCTTTTTCTGACAGATGCATTTCATGGCAAGTCTGAACCTTGGTGTGCGAAGGTGCAGTTGCCCCTCGCTCCCTATTTGTTGACTTCTCTGATTTTTTTGCGTTTTAGTCTATGTTTGATCAGATAGCCTGGTTCAGTTAAAGTAGGCAGCCAGTGTAACTCTGATTCAAAACCCGGTTACGACCACGTGTTTCTGAGACTCCTTTGCCGATGCTTTATTTTTCTTCTTTTTCCCCTTTCTAGTAATTTCTTTCTCCTGATGAGGTGGGACCTTTAGCTGTCCTCGAAATCGATTGAGTGTTTTAATATATGTATGCTAAATACAAGGTTGTTATTGCGATTTTGATTGTCACATTGGTGTGTTTCTCTTCTATTCTAACAAAAATAATTTTTAACAGACTATAAGAAACACCAAGGGAAAATCCTTAGTGGTAGACGCAGTGGTTCTTAATATTTTCTGCATTCGCTTTATATGATGTGCACTCTCCCAGACTTGTAATCATTAATCACTATGGCTTTTAATACATTTTTCAGAACAGAATCAAATAACAAATAAAATCTTTTTAAAATTTCTCATGGACTCATGACTTTTGACTCTTAAATCCAAAGGTGTCTGTGGACTGCAGTTTAAGTCTAGGTTACGTATAAATGCTGCCCTCCTGCCTTTTTATGTGTGTGTTTTTCTACCAAACTGCTGAAAATCTCTTTAAAGAAATCAATACAGTTATTGAGTTAAAATAATTGTCTATAAGCATACCTACATATTTTAAAGTTCAACTATAATTTGTTCTTGCATTATTTTAGTTATTTATTTTGGTAATTATATATGAAGTAAATAGAATAATTACTTTTAAAAGAAGACTAAGAATTTGCAGTTATTTATAGAAGAAAAAAAAATAGAGAAAAATTTGATGGGTAAAATATCTTTTGTGTAGGAAGCAATGCTTCTAATAATACTAAAAATGTTTACTATTTATAAAGTATATTTTTATCTTATTTATCAGTCTTGTATGGTTCGACCATCAAGAATCAATCAGATGTTTGCTTCTAGAGCATGTCGGAAATCTATCATGATTGGAACTTCTCTAACAATACCAATGATGAAAAAAGTAAGTATACTTAACTATTTATTTGATTGTAATATGGAGAAGATATTCAATAATTCAGTTTTGTGTTAAATCTTTAATGAATATAAATTTCTCAGTCATCAATCCAAAATTGGCAGTCAACTTACTAATTAAACAATGTGGTAAATTAGAACAGAAGTTTATACGTGCTTAAATGATTCTGGCTGTGAACATAAGATAATAATTAAATCATTTATCTCAATTATAAAATATTACTGGTGATGCAAAAACAAATATATTAAATCCTGAATTTGTATGTAATTATTAATATTTATTCTCTATTTAATGTTATAGAAATTTCATATCTACTACAAAATATGCTTTATTACAGCTAGTTATGCATATGGGTGAGATAGAACAACCATGGGTAAGTAATTTTAAATATGATAAACAATTTTTTAAAAATGTATTTTCCGTTAATATAAAAATAAATATCGTATTTATGAAATAGTGATGCCATATAATTTCTAGCCTATCTTTAAAATTAGATTAATTTGTTTTTATGGGATGACACAGTAGTTTCTATTAATGTGTAGTTTTGTTGAAATGCAAAAGAAATAATATATAGATATAATAATCATGCTAAATGTACATGATTAAAAGCTTCAAAATCAAGATATTTTATGTTAACTTTTTTACTATAAAATTTTATCCTTATGAATTTATTTCTGTAAAAAAAAATATTAAAAAATATTTCAAATACTACTGTAAAGGTTAAAATACAACACAATGTACAAGATAGAATTTTGTTTGCATTTCAGGTGTTTACTTTAATGTTGTTACAGTTCATCCTTATGAACAGTCTAATGAATAATTGTGGGTGGGATTAAAAGCATGTTTTATTGGTCTAAAACCTTGAGCACTAGTAGTGACAGAACAATTTTATATCCAGTAACACTCCAGTTATAAATCAAAAATCACCCAGACATGGGGAGGGGGAACAAGGGCCTTATACTCCCATTCCTTTACAAACTACCTCTCTTCCATAACACAAACATCCATGCCTTCTCCATAATTTAAAGCTGAGCCCAATAGATAAACAACTAATTTTTTTAACCATTAACATTACCCAATCTAGCACTTGTTTCAATATATTTATGCATAAGTTTATATATATATATGTATGTATGTATGTATGTATGTATTTCAAAGAGATTGTTGCATATGCCCGCTGCAGAATACTTGAGCAACCAGTACATAACCAAAGTTGTAGCTTAAATGAAAAAGCTGGGGCAATTACAAAATACCAGAAGTTCAGAAATTAAATTATAAATTATCAGAGTATAGAAATGTGTTCTTGTTTGCTTGCAAATATGTAGTAGTTAAGCAAGTGTCGTCTTCGAAACAAAGCAGCATGGATTTGATTGGACTATTTAGGTTATAGCAAAGCACACAAGGGCTATCTGCCTAAGGGAAGGGATATCTTGAAGCATTTATTAAAGGAAACTGGCTTATATTCATATTATACTAAGTCCATGAAAGCCCTGTGCAGCCAAGTGTGTGTGTAAAGAAGGATATAAACTGGTTGCTATAAATCTCTTTTTTTCCTTCACATCCTGAAAAAAGTTATTAAAAATTGGGACCTTTCTTCTGTGGAGCAACATGCAGTAGAGTGTTTTCAAAGTTATGGGTTCTTGACATCAAGAAAAATGTGCATATGTAATTTTATTTGAAAACACATAAACAATGGTGATACATTGTGAAGACTTATAATGAATATTTTAAATTTTTTATATGCTATATCCGTAATTTGTATACATTTATTATGTAACTAAATTGAGAATGATTTGTTCCCTTGAACTTCTGCAGATTTGACATGAATTTGGTGTTTTCACTGCCAACTTTCATGATTCGATGAGATTTCATATTCGGATATGATATTTTAACTTCTACATAAAAAGCCTCTAAACCTCAGCTTTTATATATAAAATGTATTTTTTCCTTCAAAGTCTTACATAGTTTTAAATATAGGCTTTTGATATTCAAGCTGATAAAATACAAAGGCTTTTTATAAGCTTAGACCAGAAATTTCTTCTTCTATCCCTTTTTCTTTTTCACCATTAATTTCCCTTTTTAATATACTCAATTATCTGGAATTTTTACTTAACTGCTATTTCCCAAGTTTTCATTGTTTACAGAAAATGTCCTTTAGCTCAAATGAATTTTGACATTTCTACAAGAAGCAATACAAATTTTAAAATATTTAGAAACTGCCTTGAAGTACTATTATAAAATTATATTTGGGTTTTAAATACTGATGTTTTATGGTTGCTATCCTAAAATATTGCTGTAAATAAGTAATTAATATGAAAAATTATTTTATTTTTAGAATTGTCCTCATGGCAGGCCAACAATGAGACATCTGTTCAACCTTAACCTTTTACAATCACCTTAAAGGTTATTCAAAACTGTTGACATGATTTATGGCTGAGTATTGCAGTTCATTCAGAGGGTCAAGAAATCTTGTAAAACAATAATTATAATAATGTCTGGAACAGTACAATTATACTGCCAGGAATCTGGAAATTGAATGTGAATCATTAAATTTTATTGCAATACTGAAGTTTTCATGAAAGATGTTCTTTTAACATTAAGCAAAATCTGGATTTAGATTGCCTTATATTTTAATTAGGAATTCTGTGCATTCCAAGAGAATATGATGGAGTTCTTTTTCAATAATACTTTAAAAGGGGAGGAAAAAAAAAAAAAATTAAATACTAATATACAGCATTATTCAAAATGAATGGTTCAATTTCAGATGGCTTTGGTTTTTAAATTTATAACCACAAAGTGGCCATATAAGAAATGAAAAGTATTACAGTCAAAAGTCGTTAATTCGGACACCCGTAATCCGGAATGATCTATAATCCGACCTCAAAGCTAAATCTTTCTGCGCATGCGCATAGGCGTTTTACTCGCGCGCGCAAGACATTTACGACTGCGATATGAATCTGCGAAGTGCAGAATACGTTTTTGCGTGCGCTTTAAGTATAAGGACGGTAAAGCTAAAATTATCTAATTATCTATTTCCGTTAATGTGATAATTGCGTTGTCCTTAATCTTCAAATTGGATCCGGCTTATTATTTTTTGCAGACTGTAGAAATTTTCTAAAAGTAAGCTGAACTTTCGATTATGTCAAATAGAATTTCCGATGCTGGATCCCAAAGGACTAGAAAACGAAAGTATGTTTCGTGTCCATCAAACAAAAAACGAATTGCTCAAAAATGGATAAAAGCATATCCTTTGTTTATCTACCGTTCCGAATCTGTTTATCAATTTCACGTGCTGCGCGGGGGGGGGGGGGCACGTCGCGCGCGCAATGAACTGGAAGTTGATGTCAACACTACGTTATTTCATGGCAGATGTTTTTATTTTAGTCGTTATCATTCCTTACTAAATGTAGTATTTAATTTCGATGTACTCCGTCTTTGATATGATTTAAATCAATTCCTCTCATTATAAATATCACGAATACAAATCACATAGTTTTCTGGTTGCAATTTTCTAATTTCGGCTATGAGTAAGGTATGCTTTACGCATCCGCGCGTTAAAAGAAATGTTTAATAAAGTAGTTTCATATTTTTAATTTTATAATTTCTGCATGCCATCGGAATCGCCGAAGTCCCGACGAGTCCGGATTAAAGACTTTTGACTATACTTGAAATTGTTCTATATGTTTATGTTCTAATTACAGAAACAGTAGTATTCAGATAAATTCTTGCCATGTTTGCTGTAGTATATCTGTTGTTACTGTCCCCACACCATAAGTGTGTGGGCAAATGTAACAGGAATAACACATGGTTAATGTTGTTTCAATGTAAAATACAACTTGACAAATATGCTATTATTCAATCATTATAAATTCATATTCATTTTATCAAAAAATGTATTTACTTTTTACATTGTCATTCTACCATATTTTATGACCTATATATCAACTTCTGAATTTTATTCACATTGCTTTCTTAATTATGAATAATTAAAATTTAATTTTTATGAATCTGCAAATGTTTAATCTTATTTTGAATTATTTTTCATAAGAAGAAAAATACTGACATTGTAATAAGAAAAAAATTTCTTGGAAAACTTCTTTATTTCAATTTGTATCAAATTTGGAATTTGTTTATTGTTATAATATATTAAATGGCTTTGAGATTTATTTTATAAATTACATTTTCTATTCACACAGTTTAAAATTAGTTTTAAAGAGTTGAAATCATTTTGGTAATTAAAATTTATGTATCTTAATTAATAACATATTTTAGAACTTGTCATATGAATTATATCAACAAATTATCTTACAACCTTAATAAAATTATTAGAATAATGAAGAAAATATTCTCATTTTAATATATTGTAAACTGTCAAATTATAGAAGTGAGATAAAAATGAGTTACCTCTCCTATCTTAGAATTTAGTAATTAAATTTCATTTCTAATATTTATGAAATTATTCTGAGTTTATAAAATGTGCTTTTATGAAGCACATTTTATAAACTCGGAATGTAGTTATTAACATATTTTTAAAGTAAGTGCATGTCCTGAAATATTCTGATTCTAAAAACATTAAAATAGATCTTGAAAAAAATGTAGCAGCAAGCAAAGCTAATTATAAAAGATTTCAAATGTCTGCATCTGGTTTTAAGAATTGAAACGACAGCATTTAAGATTACATTCTGTTACAGCATTTTTACTCAGTTATATTTTTCATTGTGATCTAATTCTGCAAGTTTAAGAGAAGAAAGGGGAAAACTGTTGCTTCTCTTTTAATAAAAAGATTTTTTTTTTTTAATTAAGCATTGAATAATTTAACGCTAAGGGAAATACATTAACAAAATTTGTCTGCTTATGTGTACTGAATTTCATGAAAACAATTGCGAATGACTATCAAGTATGAGGAAATATTATATTTGCCAATCTTCTTTATGACAACAAAGATCACAACAAAATGAATAAAGCTTAGTTTTTTCAAACCCAAAAGCGGCATTCCTAGTGATACAAGACTCAATAAATTTCAAAATAACGTAATAAAAAAGGACATAGATGAGCGGGAAAGACAACCTGCAAATTTCTTATTAAAGGAGGGGAAAGTGTATTAATACACATTTTACAGCATAAAATGAATTTGGAAAGGAATGACTATTTTTAATTAATGTAATCCAGGTGGATTTATCTCAGAGCAAACTAAGAAGGAAGATGATATGTTTCTTTATTATGCAATTAGCAGTTTAAATTGAAAATATTATGGAATATACTCGGTAGATTATAAGTGAAGTAACGCCTTAAATATTTTGGTCTTGAAATAGACTGAGTTATATGCTAACATAGAGTTTGCACATAATTTGTTACATGGTGCTAAAAAAAATTTAAATAACATTTGTATTTATTATGCTATTATATTTGCATTATTATTTGAATATGCTGAGATGAAAAGACTGATATTTAATCCATGTCTACATGATGCCGAAAAAGGTCAGCATAGGCTTTCTTTATATATATTTCCAAGCACAAAGTTTTGAAAAATAAGATATTTACATAGAGGTATGTCATTAACACATTGTGCATATGGTAGAATCCCCTTCCGCAAAGTTAACTTTCTGTGGAAAAAAACTGGTTGGGTATAAAAGTACACATAACTTACGCTAACTTAAATATTACTGTAAAAGGAAAAGGGAAACAACTTTTAACTGGGTGGATTTCTATTACTGCTTAATAAGAAGGTATATGATGCAGTTTTTTTTTTTTTTTTTCCAAATAGTTAATGATTTTTGCTTAGGGTGATGTCTGATGCAACTCATTAAATGTTTCATATTAGCATTGCTATTTCCTTGGCACCAGCAACATATTTAATATGAAATGCTTTTTTATCCAATACTGAACTTTATAATCAATGAAATGATTAGAAAGTTCAGTATTGGATAATCATTTTATTGACTTATAAAAAAATCGATAAAATGAAAAATTGTTTTAGCTGCTGTATATTTGGACAAAAAATTCTGAATTTCATTTGACAAAGCTTGAAAGTATGTGCCAACAGTCAATTGCCTTGAGAGATGGTGATTTAAATGTAAGCACAAAATTTGGTATTTTAAATGCGATTATTGTTTTGTGGAAACCATATAAAAGTTTTTTTTTTTTTTTTTTTTTTTTTTTTTTTTTTGCAAACTCATATCCAAGTGGTAGTAGTTTCCTAAGATTCCACCTTTATTGACAGCACAGTAATGAAAGTGTATGTCTAGAGGAATAAAAGCAGTCATTGTTTTCATTTAAAACATATACTTTTTTTTTTTATATACATAGACGTTACAAATAAATTAATGTGAATTTTCTTTTATGTAATTTTAGTTAACAAATCATCCAGTAATTAATTGTATCTAGTAAAATACAATTTCTAATAGTCATAATTTTAAATATGACTGAATCAAATGAATCATATGGGGATATATATGAATTATTTGTTCATTTCCTCCCTATATTTAGAAGTTAATTTGATTATGTTTGCTTTAATTACAATGTATCAGCTACTGAAAATATACTGACATTAAAACTGAAATTCCATCACTCGTCATAAAAGTTGTTTCAGAAAAAGACTTTTTTTTTTGTCTTTCAGTGTAACTGCTAAAAAAGTATAAAATCTGAAAGACATCAAGTATAAAATGCTCAAAAGGACAGCTTACAAACAAGAAAAACAACAAAAAAAGATTATACATGAATAGTTTTTCCCCCTTTAAGCTTGGTATAATTTTCTTATTTTTATTTCTGGCTTCCTGATGAATGCTTCAAACTTTTTTGTTGCACACTGCATTGAGCATTTTAATTTGAAATGAGTTACCAATGTTTTCAGAAGTAAACAAACATTCTTAAATGGAAGGAAGTGAGAAATAAAAATATTCCTTTGCCACTTTTAATATACTGATATATGAATGCACTTTATATATAATATTTTGAAAATGTATTAAACTTTGAATATATACTTTGAAACTTGTATTTAATATTATTTTGAAAACTTCAAATTTATTATTGAAAACTTTGTGAGTACTATAAAATTATATGAAATGAATGGAAGTTCAGGTAAGGATATATGTTTACATCATATAATGGCAAAAACACTTGATATTCTATCAAGGTTTAAAAACAGGTTTTTCAAAAGATTTAGTAAAATCTTTAACTACTAATACCAGTGTATTAAATGCTGAATATAGACTTAAATACAAGAAATGCAAACCAATTTCTAAATAAGGCATAAAAATACAATGTTGGTCTTTGTTTAAATTAACATAGCTACATTAGCTTCCACAAATTCTACTTAATAATACAGCCGCAAAACAAGTTTTGTTTTGTTTTGTTTTGTTTTGTTTAGATAAAAATTCAGCTATTATATTGTGTTAAAAATAATTTTATATAAATACTTGAGCAATCAGAAGAGCAGTTTCCAATATCTGATACAAAGGGTTAAATAAAAAATATTTAAAACTGAAGAAATAATACTTTAAATTATAAATGAGTATTAATTTTTCAACATTGGAGGTATACTTTTAAAGCATAATTATAATATTTACGGATGGTTTCACTAACATAACTCTCATTCTGAATATCACATTGCTTTTTTAATTGTTGTTAGTAAATAGTTTAATCCTCTAACACCATTTATATAGAAATGTTTCTTCGAAATAATAAATCAAAAGTCTTTTTTTTTTTTTTTTCCCTTAAATATGCTAAAATGAACTTTATTTTCAAGGAGGGGAAAGGAATTTTGACATAAATAAGAATATACATTTCAGAAAGAGTTAGAGAATTCTTCCCTTTGTATTTTAATTATAAAAGATAAATATATGAGAATTTCATAGTCATTTTGTTTTCAAGTATGAAACTGAAATATCAATACATAAAATCCAGAAAAGGAATGTACTTATATGCCTTTTCTCCTTGATTACTTTAAATAACAAAATGCCACTCAACTAATTGATAAAACATTTATTTTTGAAGTTTTTAAAGTTTTTTTAACAATTGCTATTGTTATGAAATACGTGTAAAGCAAGTATTTTTAGTAACAATTATAAAAATCAGTATTTCCAAAACAACATTATAAAACAAAGATTTACTTGAAAATTATACCAATAATCACCAGAGCTTCATTTCACAGTATGCCTCTGGTAGAAAGGAAAAATATTTGTATATTTATTGAAAAAGGGGGGAATAAACAACAAAACTAATTTTACTATACAAACATAGTTTACAATATATTGTAATCAATTCAAAATAGGAAGAAATACTAAAACAGCATATTTATATAGATTTTTTATACATATTCATTTCATTAAAATTAACATAAATCATCAATTTTTCACACAGCAAAAAACATTTTGGTTAGAAGATAATAAATATATAAAAAAATTATTTTTAAGTCATTTTGTCAGGACTAGTTCACAAAGGAAAATCTCTTTTCTATAAAGTTATATATATAAAGTATCTACAGCATATACACTCAAATTAAAAATTCTAAAAATCGTATTGTAGCAGTATGTGCTGCTAAATAACACACGTTTAAGGATCAAGAACTACACATTTAAGTTACTATTTTTTTAATTACCAAGTTCAAGAAGGTGAAAAAATACTGCATAGTTTGAAATATGCTAGAAAATACTGTATCTTTTATAAATAGTTAAATGTAAAGCTATTCGTCATAAAACTACCTCATTCCATGCAAAATTATGATATCAAAAAGAGTGACTGCACCACATCTAAACAGAACTATTCAATAGTCTAGTCCACATTTTATAATTTTGAATACTACTTTATATTCTTAATTAGCTACTGTTGAATATATTTGTTAAAAACTGCATATTGAACTTGGATTTTGGATGCATAATCTGGAATCAAATTAAATTTAAAAGATCTGTCCACTTTCAGCATAATTTTTCAGATTAATAATTGTTATCATTTTAATCCAAATAAAGGCCTTATACCTCATTATAAAAATGACATGCAACTCTAATTATATTTTGCTTAACAAATAATACTTAATTTTATTTCTTAGAATATATCTTCAAGGACTGTGATATTACTTCTTAAATAGCATAAAAACCTGTTTCAAATATATCATGTATATGCTTTAGTTTGATAATATTGCACTTTTAAGAAATTGAAGTTCATTGGGAAATTCTTAATAAATTCGTTGTCAGCGAAAGTTTTAGTACAATTTGTACAGGACACTTAAATAAAGTAAATAATAAAAAAAAGATTAATAACATAATATACCAAATAATCTCATATTTTTTGCAATTCTTTCTTGGCTCAGAACTTGGTAACTTGTACCACTTATCAAAAATTTCCAAAAGTTTTTTTTAATTAAAATTAAAGTTTATTTCTATACTAAAGATTCTGCGATGTAATCAAATACATACATGATAAAGTAAAATAAGTTCGAATTACATAAAACTTCTGTATTTTAAATTTATTTGACTGAAAGGAAAGGTTTACTACTTATTGAACAATTTAAAACTGAGATGCAAGTCTAACACCTTTTTTCCCCTGAATAACAAAATATTGTTGCAATTTTCAGTATGTTAAGTGATTGTCCGCAATTAGTTTATATTATATTATATAAGTACACTACTCTCATAAATTATTAAATATATTTAAACAATAATTGGCCTTTATTTTAAGAATTTTCTTGTCTGAATAACTGGTCATATTATTCAAGCATGCTTTTAACAGTTACAAGAAAAAAGTCTGGATTACTAATAACCATAATGCATTTCAAGTGTTAATCCTTTAATATCAATAATAACAAAAGGGAGAAGGTATAAACATACTTTTCCAATTAAAAATCAACTGCAATTTTTATTATTGCACACAGAATTATTTCTTTGCCTTAAACCAAAATGTGGAATTTCCAAATGGTATTTTCAAAGTCCAAGATAAATACTAAATGTAACCAACTAAGATCAACTAAGTCATGTAGTCAGTAACTTCTTCAACTCTTCTAGTTCATCCTTCATACAACGCATGTATGCAGTTGTCTCCCATAACATTTTTACAAGTGTTTTGGTATTGGTCTCATCTAATGCAACATTTTCTGTCAGTTGAGGGTTCAGACGAAAGTAAGGAATATTCAACATGTCACACAATGCAAGAGCCCGGGCTGTAACTCGACCATCAGTTTGTGTAGCCTGTAAGAAATGTACTGCAATCTTATTACATGAAAGATCATTCAGGAAAGAAAACAGATTTTACTTTGAGGCATGATTTCAAGATGAATGTGGCATGTTTTATCTGCTTTAAATTATATAACTGTGACTTGGCTGTTAAAAAATGCACTTCTGCAACAAAACAAGCAACCCTTTTCAGCTTTCTCCATTAAAATTACATGTTATAACAAAAAGAACAAAATTTAGCATTTCATTGTTAATTTAATTATTCCATACCCCAAAAAATGCTAACTTTTAATTTAGGTTCAGTAATAATATATATACACTGTGTGTTTAGTTTTAAGACTTACATAAGTAAGAATTTATTTCATTGTTTAAATTTGTTATAAAACTTTTTTTCCCCATTTCATAGTCTCCGTTTAATTAAAATATGCTAAACTGAAAAAATAAAATTCTCTTACTTGCCTAGCAGAAAATATGTACATAATCTACAGAGAAAAGATTTTCATTCCTATTAGGTTATACAGCTAGATTGTGATCCCAGTTACTCTAAATAATTGGAATCCTACAGCATATTTAATTGAATGTAAAAAGACTATAAGACAATATTACATTTCAAATGTATCAATAAAACAGTGCAAAAAGCTGACACATTAATTAGGTGTATGGATATGAAATTTACTTAATTCAGTGTTTAAATAAATCACAATAAAATGTAAAACTACCATCTTTCACAGTAAATGTGTTGAAACCATATTATATATTATAGATCACATGTAAAACTTATGAAAATCTGTATTAGTTGTATATAGATTTTTAAAATTTTTTTCAAAAACTGATTATTGTAAAACAAATTCTAATGAACTATAACTGAAAAATACTTTGATTTTATCTGTCCAATCAACTGTAGATTTTTGAGTAAAATGTAACACATAAGAAACTATTTACAAAATAATTCAAAATTTAATATTGCTGTAACTGTAAAGGCAAAAAAGTTAAAAGAAATGCAAATTTGATATTGAATGAACTTGCATAAACCTTAGTCTGTAATCATGTAGTTTGCTATGCACTGCTTTTAGTTAAGTTTTTTCCCTTAGATGGCACCACTAAAACACTATTTGTAAATCTGATTGTGATAAAATGGCAAGAAAAAGAAATGATTAAACAACAATTAAATTTTAGTGCCACCATCTAAAAAATAAATAAAAGCAGTAAACTCTGTTTTCATTATTTTCAGCAGTCTAATTCCTTAAAATTATGTGAAGAACGTTTGAAATTTTACATATCACCATTTCTTTCTATCATAACTGCCAACCTTGTATTATGAAAACCTAGGAGATTCCAAGAAATTGTATGCTAACAAAAGGACATGATTTTAAAGGAATTCCAAACTTAAATAATAAATATAATTTAAATTATAATGCATAATTCACATTACTGACCTGTTTATAACATGATTCTTATGTAAAACATATTGATACTTAGCTAAAAAATATGAAATTTATAATATTTCATTTCATTTCATAATTTTCTCGTACTTTTCTACTGAGAAGTTCCTGGGTTGGGAAGCAAAGTTTTAATTCAATTAATGTATACACCATTCTAAGGATAAATCTAGCAATACACCATTTATTGATGCACAGCAAAATCAAATCTATAAAGGGTGTTCACACACTTTTGTAATGATTTTGATTTTTAATAATTGTATTTAAATATTAATTTTAAAATACAAACGTTAATGGCATCAAATTGGAATAAGGATTAATTATTGTCTGCAGCATTTAAAATATTCTTTTCTTTAAAATGTTGCTGAAGAATTAAACAATATATCGAAAGCTAAATTTTTACACTGTCTTGAAGAGAAATACTCTTTATCTCAATTATTAGAAAAAAGAAAATGTGAAAAACATAGTTTTAATATTTCTACATATAAAATAAGTGACATAATTAATATGAAAGGAAAGAAACGTCAAAAGTTTACATCTGACTGGGAAAAATGCATACTCAATAAAGGTACATACAGCTCTTATTATATCTAAAGTACATCTCATGCTTTAAAGGAAAATCCAGCCCCCCCCCCAAAGAGCTATTACAAAATCTTTAAATATCTCTGTAGGAACTATGAACAAAATTATAAAATCTGATTAAAGATAATCAAAACAAAAAACAATGTTCATTGCCCAACGCCGAAACATGCTTCTAAGCGTAAGACTATGTGCAGATTGCCGTAAGAAAATTATTTGACATGCAGAAAATGGAAATATATAGTTACAATTGATGAGACTTGAATAGTCTTATCTGATTGGAATAGAAAAATACCTATTTTTTACTGAAAAAGACTTAATATGTTGGTTCAGAGAAAAGGTGGAAAGTTTTTCTTATGGTTTTATGGTTATTACTGGTTTCTCTTACAATGGAAAACTAAAAATAAGGAGAGTAGAAAAAAATGTCAAAATTAATTTGGATTTTTATCAGAAATATGTTTTAACACCTATTTTTAAAGAATAAATTCCATCTCTTTATCTAAACAATCTTCTTAATGTTAAGTTGAATCAGGATAAAACTCCAAGCCATACCCATACTTGCCAACCTATGACACTCAAAAATCAGGAGATTTTTTTAAGAAATTAGGAGATTTTTCACAATGTTAAAAAGACTTTTTAAATGATAAAAATATAGTTTTTAATAATGAATGAACTTTAAGTAGTAACTAATTCTTAAATGCAAGCAACACAAATACCTTACACATAAAAAATTTTTACTACACGCATCGTTTAAGAAAAAAAAAAAAGACTCTTTAATCAGTTTCGTACAAATGTTATAAACAGTGGCAGATTTTGCTTTCTTTAAAGAAGAAACTTTATCATTGTGTTCACAGCAATTGCCACGTAGGCCTGCTTTCGCTGATAAAAGTTTTTCTAATTTGCCATCTCTAATATTAGATCTAAATTTAGTCCTCGTTTTCGCAACAACACTGAGGATTCCTCTCACCCTCTGCATTACTATAGGGAACTGTCAAGATGACCAACACATTCTAGACAGTTTCACTATATTTTAAAATTCCATCAGCACCTTTCAGTTTTCAGTTTTGCAATTAAACTCCACTGGGTGTCAATCGTAGCTGATTTTATAACTTCATCCAAGTTTTCTAATTGTAAACTGCTGTTATGCAGCTGTTGAACTGTTTTTAATTTTTCCTTCCTTTAGAACTCCTTTCAAGATAATAATAATATCAACAATGGGTTTCATCATCCACATTTATTGGTAAAGAAGTTGCCCCTTTTTCAGCTGCTAAATTTAAGAGGGTGACAGGTGCACCTCATAATCTGAATTTTCCTTTCTTAAATGCCTGCAACACCTGTCTTCCAAGCCTACCAATACTGGTGCATTATCGGCACCAAGTGCTAAGCAATTATCCAGAGTGCCTGCAGTTTTTCTTTTAAAGTTTTAATAATTAGCTGTGCTATATTAAAGCCTGTCAAATGTCCTTATAAGTGGGAACATAAAGTAAACTGCACTCAAATTTTTGAAGACTCTGGATCAAAAAAAGAAACAACAATTGGATACAGTTTTGAATCGGTATTATTGCTTCCATCAGTAGAGAGGCAGACCGGAGCTGTTTTAATGCAATCAATAACTGAAGATTTATTTTTCAAACCCATTTCTTTAACAATTGCACCTGTTTTGATCTTGCACCTTGAGAGTATTTCTTGGCGATTTCACTATCGGGAAACATTTTTTTAAATAAAGCTGCAGCGTGATCCGATGCATTCAGTAGCAGGTTGTGCTCCAGTAAAAAGGCAGAGAACAGACATTCTGCATTAATAACTTTTTGGTCCTTTGTTTCCGAAGAAAATTTTAATTTTTCGTTTTTTTCAAAATAACTCATGTTATCCTTGTGTTTTTGTGTACGCACATGTTTGAGAACATCCGCCCTTCCAACATATGAAATCGAAAAATCGCAATGACAGGCGGTACACATCGCAAATTTATTACATTTCCTTGAGGAAATAATGGAAGGAAAGTCAACTGTGTACGATTTTTGAAACGTACACGAGTATTTCATCTTTCTCACAGACGTAACAAAAGATGATAATTTCTAAAACTATTTCCCTAAGCCACGTGTACTCACACAACTCAGGACAAAATGAACGAAATAACTAAAAAGAACGTCCAAATAACAACTTGCTTTGTCCTCATTGGCTAATATATGCCAGCTGACACGCAATGGAGCTCGAATGCCCATTGGAGAACTGAAGAACATGACGTTTCTAGCTACGTATAATGCTCTCAATCACAAAGCAGAAGTTATCTAATTCACATGCTTTTGTTTTAGATATAATGTAGAGAAAATTCAATTGTTTTCAGACGTCCAAAAGCACTTTTTTTTATTCATATAACAGTATGAACAGTATGAAAGTATGAAGCCAAGTTGCATAAAAATCGTGAGAAAAATTTTAAGAATAAGAAAAAGTCGGGAGAAATATATTGTAAATCGGGTTGGCGGGAGAGCGGTCGAAAATCGGGAGTCTCCTGCCTAAATCGGGAGAGTTGGCAACTCTGCATACCTCTAAATCTACCGCTCTGTTTTTTCAAGAAATGAAACCGAAATTGAAGCTATTCCATTTAAATGCATCCCACCCAAGTCTCCTGACATGTCTCCTATGGATTACGGTTCATATGGACTTTTAAAACAAACTCTTTATAAGCGACATCCCAAAACATTGGATGGACTCTGGAAGATTGTGAAGGAGGAGTGGAATATAATCAACCTTGATATTTTAAGAAAATGACTTTTATCTTGGAAATCAAGATGTAATATGATAGTTCAACAAAAGGGCTATCAGATTGAACATATTAGAAAATAAAACTCTAAGGTTATTTTATATATAAATCCTTGCAAAATCCTTACAAAAATGTGTGAACACCCTCTGTAAATGTTAATTAATTAAATATGTGTTGAATCTTCATTAAAAGTTGTACAAATGTAATTCAATAAAAAAAGATTATGTTGAAAATCACCATGAATGGAAGGATGGAATTTGCATAGTTTAAACTCTGTTAATTCAATAAATTTCATTTATTGCTAAAAAAATCTCTTATAATTTTCTTTAATAAAGACTAGAATTTCAAAACCAGGGATCTTCCATTAAATCTGGGAGAACTGGCACTATGCTTGTATACCCGGGGGGGGGGGGGGGATGCAGTCAGCCTGACTCCACCTACTTCCTCCTATGCCATTAAAAAATTGTCTAAATCTAAAATAAATTTACATGTACTTTTTGAGGTTTGCAAAGAGAGGAGGGATGATCTATAGCAATGGTAAAAGGTGTGATTGGGCAAAAAAGGTTGAGAACCACTACTCAATACTTTAAAGAAGAAAATAATGCATAGAAAATGGAAACATGCATGTCATGAAAAATGTACAGCACTCAGTAGATTAAACAAAAGATTCTAATACTATTTTAAGTAAAAAAGCCTACATCACTTTGAATGATCACATATATCTTACATGATGGCATCTTTAAATGAGGAATATACTTTAAAAACAGTATGTATCACTCATTTAGTTCTTGAATATATGCTATCTTTATGTGACAGTGACATTTTAGAATTATATTTAAATAACCAAACATGCAAATACTTCATTTCAACTATGCAATATTACAATAAATTAAATATAATAAAAGTTTGTTTATAAACATACTTGATCAACCAAAAGTTGGCCTAAATTTGTAACTCCCAGAGCCATTCTACAAGCACCCCATAAAGAATCTGGACGGAAAACATCAATTGTATCCACAGGCACAAGAGGAGGCCTTCCAGTGCCCATAGATACAACAACTTTGATTTTGCATACTTGATTTTCCTTGCCCTAATTAAAAAAAAAAAAAAAAAGAGCAAGAAATAAAAACAAATCAAATAAAAAATTGTGAATCAAACTGATCCTAATAGAGACTCACATAGCATGACTTTGAAAATGCATAAGATATTATTGGAGAAAAGAAACATATAATGCATTCCAAAAATATATGTGCATATTGAGAACCTAACCCCCTCCTAACAAAGTTGTAATTAATTTAAAATAAGATACAAATATTCAAAGTTATACTAAATAAAGATATAAAAAAAATCATGGCTATTATGAGCAAACAATAATAATACAAATGATTTTAAGCTACCAGCTCATAACACTTATAGCATATAAAAAATTGCTAAACTGTGCGAGTTCACTTAATCTCTAATACTCAAATTCATCTGGATTAAAGTGTTTTACTACAATAAAAACTGATCTGCGTATTCATTTTCAATTTGTGAATTAATTTACTGATACAAAAAACATACATCACAAAATTAGCATTTTGAAAATCTAAAAAGAGATAGTTCTATTTAAAAGAAGAAAAATTTTTCACAATATAATAAATTTGCCTTATGCTTTCATATCTAAGATAAGGCAAATTGATAATGCAGTTCAAATACGTCATTAACAATATAAATCATTCACATCATAAGATGTGATAAGGCAAATTTATAATGCAGTTCAAATATGTCATTAATAATATAAATAATTCAAATCATAACACAACACAGCTTTTAATACATTTAAAAAATGTAAAACAAAAGAAATACTAACCACTGCAGTTAATGACTGATTACACTGATGGATTTCTGTTATTGCATCTAAGGTGGGGTTATTTGATATGAGGCCTCCATCGATATAAGGCCCTGAGGCACGAAAATAAGTTGGTGCAGCTCCTGTAGCTCTTGCGGCTTGCCATATAAGCTGCTCTAAAAATAAAAATATTTCAAGTAATTTTTGCAAAATTACTTTAATAAATGCTCTTAATTACAATGCAAAATTGTCTGGAATTATTTGGAAAATTCCTGCATATTCATGAATATATAGTAGTTGGACCTAATCCAAATACTTCTGAAACTAACATTAGTCATGAAGTCAGAATTAATCAAATATTAAATTTACTGCAGAAAACATTTCTGTTTTATTTAACACACTGTATGGAGTCTGTTGCATCATAATAAATTCATATAGCATGTAAAAACATGACTGTAAAATGTAAGAATGGTTCACTTCCCCAATTTTTAGAGATGGCAAAACATTGTATCCAACTGGGATACTACAGATTAAAATTGGAAACCTGGTTCCTGAAGACTTTTATTCCAAAATTCATGTGAACCTATACAGAGTTTAATAAAATAATAAGAACCGATGGGATAATTAGCAGAATCTGAAACTCAGTAACTGAAATCAACAAGCAGTTCCAAGAAATGTAACCCATTTTCATAGAATTATAACAGCAAATAAGATAGCATAAATAATAATCATCCAATTAATTTTATTTCTAGAAAAAAGTACAGGCTGTGAATTGCTTAAATCCACAGTCTGTAGATGAAATGCAAACTGCTATTATTTTTGTCCTTAGCAGATGATACAACAATATTCTTTTAATGGGATAAAATTATGTATGGATCCCATACCTAAAAGAAAGTTGACTGGCCCAAAGGCCATATTATTTTCGTAAATCCAGTTTCATACTTTCTCCACTATGTACTCTTTTTAAGTGTCAAAATTAACCAAAGAAGCATTTTAGTAAAGTAAACTTCTTCCTACCATAAGGCATGGTGGTGTGTCTGTGATGATTTAGGTCATAATACCCTGGTATTTTATTTAACAAGAACAATTGCATTTTGCAACTTCAACTATAATCAAAGCAAATGCTTTAAGTGCACTAATGTATACAAATGTTTGTAATTCTAGATAATCATGCATGCTTCCAAAATTTTTTTCTTGTCAGATAGTGATTTAAGAAGGCCCAAAACAAGATTTAATATTTTTCATATCAAACAGTCAACTTATCCACAGTCCAGTAATGTGACCACTTGTCAAAAGCCAGAATAACCACGTTTCACAGAGCGGACTCTGCCAGATGTGCAGGAAGAGAGTCAATTAGGTTCTTGAAGGTGTTTATTAGGATGTTGAATTATGCCAACTCCAGCTGCACTAGGTTACGTGGCTGAGGATCCATGGCACAAACAACCTGCTTGAGGTGGTTCCACAGATTCTCGATTGGGTTTAAGTCTGGGGAGTTTGCTGGCCACAGGAGAGTACGGTAAACTCATCCTAGTGTTCTTTGAACCATGTGTGTGCACTGCAAACTGTATGACACTTCGCTTTGTCCTGCTGGTAGATGCCATCATTCTAAAGAAAAAGAATTCACATGCAGGGGTGGACATGGTCCACAAGAATAGATGTGTATTTCTATTGATCTATCATGCCTTTCACAATGATGAGTGCACCCAGAGAAAGCCATGAAAACATTCCCCAGATTATAAGTCTCCCTCCTAGCTTGGACCCTTCCGGCTATTGTTGCATGGTGTTTGCTTTCCAATGTTTCATGCTGTATATGCCAACATTCATATGTCATATGGAACATAAAGCATTATTCATTGGAAAAAGCCACCTGTTGTCACTCAGTGGACATCCAGTTGTGGTACTGGCATGCAGATTCCAGCCTTTATTACCGATGAACTGCAATCAACATAGGTGCTTTAACCAGGCATCTGCTGTGAAAGCCCATACGCAGCAATGTTCACTGAACCATCATCGAGGAGACTCTGCTGGTAAACCCTTGGTACATCTGAGGGGTCAGTTGCTCAGCGGTTCCACATCTACTTGCCCAAACTCATCTCCACAGCCGTTGTTCACCTCTGTCATCTATGGCTTATGGTGCACCATATTTGACATGTTGCTGATTTTGGATTGTGCCATTCTGCCATGCACGATAAACTTTTACTATGGCAGCACGCAAACAGTTTACAAAATTAGCAGTTTTTCATAGTCTAAAAAAGCAATGTTGGCAAGAACTACACTGTTTTCCAATAAATTTTCTGCAGCTTAATTCTGCATTGCCTTCAAATGTTATTCACAAGTTCGGGGTAAATTTTTAAAGAACCCCAAGACTATTAAAAAATATTCACAGCAAAAAGAATCTGTGCATTAATTAAGTACTAGTTCAGCATTGACAGAATACATTGACTATATAAATCTCCCCCCCCAATACATAAATATTAGGCTACTTTATGTTAAAATGTCCACTAAAAAGGCCTGCTTTAATTATCCAGTTGATATTTGAAAGGATAACTATAATAGGGGATTTTTAAGATTTTTCTCACGTGTAATATAAACACAAACTAAGTTTCTGAAGATGGTCTTCATAAAGCCATTCTATTTAAGGCAGACAGCCCTTAAGAGGTTTAGCTATAATAAATAACCTACTGAACTTACCTCTAGGATTAGGAAGAGGCTCATTAGTAAGAATATCTTTTTCAATATGATTCAGAATTTCCATTGGCGATTTATAATTCCGAAAAATGTGTAGATCTGCAGGTTTTCTATCACCTCTTGTAGCAGTTATCATAATCCTATAAAAAGAAAGAAAATAATAAGTGCAAATTAATTAAAGACTCAATAAATTTTTCATATGATGTTAGAAATACAATAACATCTATTTAAATATATACAAAAATATTTTTATATTTTCTCCTACAGAGTTGTATATAATGTAAATGTGTTTTAGTTAATGTTTTGCATCCCTGCCACTTTTAGCCAACCAGAGCACACAGTCTATTGACTACTCTTCAACTATCACTATTATAAACTGAAATGAACGTGATTAATTCTGCTCATCTTTCATCTTCCCACGACCTAGATTATATTTTTCTGAACATTTTGCTGGGTCACACGAACATATTCACCAGTTTTAGATATTGTAAATGTACAAGTATCTTAAACTTTATTGTATTTCATTAATAATATTCATTATTTAAATTAAATAAAATCTAAGAGAGCCTTACAATGACTGCCATAGAACAATTGAAAGAAATTACCCTTGATTAGTTTGGTTTATACCAGTCTTATCCAGTATATTATTTTTCAGATTCACTTATAATAAACTCACAATTTATTCCCACTACCACCACCACAAGCAAAGTAATAAAAAAAATTCTCCATGAGCATGTTATGTTTTCTCAGCATAAGAGCAAATGCCAGCTTTGTACACAAGAATGTTTTAAACCCATTAATTATTACCATGACTCATACATCGTAAGTTATTCTGGTTCCCTTTAAAAAATAAATGGGCTGCTTTGATACATGATGTTCATTTTACATTTTAATTCTTGATGCCCATTATCCAGTAATTACATTTGTTTTGTTAAATACTACTCAGATTTGTCACCAAAGGATGATTCCGGTTTATGAGCTTACTCACAAATCAATCCAACAAAAAACCTTCAAATATGACTTAACTTGTAACTAACAGTCAATATACTGATAAAAATGCACATGACAAGCTTGAAAAAAATTATAGTGGTTTAGTATTATGATCAAAGTCACATATATGATCATGAACAGAACTGATAAAGTGATGATTACACATAAATACAATTTCAAATGTTTTATGAGGTAAAATAGATCATCTTTTATTTTTTCAAATTTTCAGGAATTAGTTTCACTAGTGCTTATTTGATACACTAAAACACAAATATACATGCAAACAAAAGTCTATAGGAATAACAAAAGTTATAGAAATTTCATATTAAGATAATAAATTATTAAAGTTGTACAGTATGCTGAGAAATTACTTAAATAATCATGAGAATAATTAAATTTAGAAAGGAGGTTAACACTAACATAAAGTACATACATTGAAACAAAATAATTTAATAAAATTAATATAATTAATTGTTGAAAAAATTTTTGGTCTTTTTTTAAGGAGCAGCTGAAGAATTTTCAATAGGGCCATGTTTCTAAATAATATCTGGATAACTGTGAAATCTTGAAATGATTCAAAAGAAGTGCAAAATAAAAAATAATTTAATTATTAAGATATAATCTGCTGCAACATAACCCTAAAATAAAATATACTACAAAAATAAACATAAAAAGAATTATTGAAGTAAGAAACCTAATTTCAAACCGAAGAAAAGACAAAATTGCTATAAAAAACTTTGTAAATCAACAGTAAATATATTTCAAGTCAAAATTTTTGAGCAAATTTACTAAACATAAAATTAATAAGAAGTTTTTTTTTTTTTTTTTTTTTATTTTTTTTTTTTTTTTTTTTTAATGCAGAACAAATTCCAAACTGCAGGGGGGAAAAAAAAAGTTTCAGCCTAGAATGGAAAAAAAGAAAAACTAAAACTAAAATTGGCAATATGTTTTTATTTCTGATTTACAAAGTTTTTTTTTTTTTTTACTTTTTTAATATAACATTGCTTTGCTTTTAATTTACCCATTTTTTTTCCCCCAGGTTTCTTTACTACAAGAATTCTTTTAATACACTTTATTTTTTGTTTCGGAGTAATATCAAAGCAGATTATGTTTTGATGATTAATATTTAAAAAAACTTTATTTATTGCACTTTTAATATATCTTTAATTAATGATTTTAATTATATTAATTTTTTATTTGGTACTTTCCACTGAATTGTTTCAAAAATTTCTAATCATCCAGATATAACTCAGGAATGTTGCTCTGCTGAAAATTCGTCAGTTGTTCTTACAAAAAGACAAAGGGATTTTTAACAATCTGCTATATTAATTTTATTATGTTATTAAGTACATTAATTTTATCATGTTATTTTACTAAACTGTTTTTGTTTTAATTTTGATGCATGCACTTCCTGTTAGACTGTTAACCTCGTTTACTGATTTAATTACTACCTCTTGATATATATACATAATTTGGTAAAAAGGTTTCTGAAAATGTAAGCCTTAGGCTAAATTTGGCTAGAAATTATAGATAAAATATGTAATGTATTAAAATGCTTCAAGCATCTATGTCATCAAGGAAAGGCTAAACAAAAACACATTTATACCATACAAACATTTTTTCGTGTTTTATGAGTGCTTCAAGAAATTCTCTCTAAATTCATAAAAGACTTTCTAGAACAAGTTTTTCCCAAATGCCTGGTTGTGACCTTAATGACAAGATTTAGTAAGTTAATGTCTTCATAGCTGGCATATGATACTGAAACTTATTAGTTTTATTTCTTGCTTTAGTTCCTATCTTAATGTTATTTGCAGCATCACCAAAAGTTTTTTAAGCTTGATTGGAGTATGCCAGCAGACTCAAGCAAAGCTTTCATATGAAAGTGACAACATCGAGTCTAGATTAGAGAACTAAAAAATGTCTAGGGTCTACTGCTTTATCCCAATCAATTTTTGGTAGTGACAAAGCTTTATTCATAATTTCAGTAATTTTCTGATAGTTATTAATTCAGATACTGCATACATTTTTGTACTTATTTACTAATAATCATAATATTATATGGCAGGGGTGGCCAAATTTCCTGTCAATAAGAACTACATGTTGGAATTCAGGAATGTTTGAGAGACACAATGAGATTTTCCAAAAGCCACAAGTCCATACTTACATCATTTTAAAAAAGTAGTGGAACAGGTTTCAGATGGAAAGAAACAATCACTCAATGACAGTTTGCCTTCAGCATGTGATGATGTGTCAAAAACAATGCAGAGTTTTGTTTTTTGATGCTAGGTTTTCCCTAATTACTGCATAATGTGATAAAAAGTACCTTTTTTTTAGTTTTTAAATACTCTGATTGTAAATGTTAATCTATCATAGCTGCTCATGAAACTCTAGACTGGTCTTAGATTTTTGCCAGAGGACTTGACTCGTTTTCTGCTACCTCAAAATTATCCCATAATTTCTCTGTATGCTTGTCCCAGGCAAGCAAGCTACATATCTGTAGTGCCAAAACCATCTAAAGATAACATTGTCTTCTAAGTTGTAACTACCATCAGATTTATAAGAAATTCCCAAAGCTTTCAAGTGCCATAAATTTCTCATTAATTTGGACATTGAATCAACTATTAAATTATTTTTTACTGGTATCAAATTATGATAGTGAATGTTTCTCATGCATTACATTCATTTTCTGTTTCTGCTTGCAGATCACCCCAGTTTAGTTTCTACTCCTACTAATGATTCAGAAATTCAATAGACACCTCCCTGTAAAGCATCCAAAAACAAATCTAACTTTTAAAGGTTTTCTTTGCAAAACTGTCTGATAGTATTTTTTATGTTTTTGGAGAATATTAAAATTTTTAACTAACAAGAAATGAAATAAAATAATTATGTTTGGACACTGACCAGTTCAAGTTTACTAATAACTTTGCAAGAATTAATATTTACTTTCTTTTGGGCATTGAATAGTTTTACCATATTTCATACATATATTTTATATGCACAACAGCCATAATACTTGCCTGTGAAAGCCACACATAGCAGAGCACCGCCACAATTATCAATGGATAAAAGGTTAATAAAAAAAATAACAATAAAGAAATGTGATGGTTATAACCGATAAAAAAAATCAAGTGATATCCAGACGGGAAAACTTTTTGTTGATGACAAACATAAGTAGCGTTCAACTAAGTATGAATTCTAAGAATGGCACTAGAAAATATCACATGAGGTATTGTCTATTACACATACCCCCCCCCCAAAAAAAAAATCCTGGACTCGACTATTCTGATGATTATATAAAATTTGCTTTTATGAAAGATGCTGATGAAAAACCATTCTGTATTATTTGCTATGCAGTCTTATCAAATGGGTCCCTCAGACCTTAAAAATTGAAATGGCACTTTGAATTAATACTTCTAAACTACAATAACAAGCTAATAGAGTTCTTTATAAATAAGAAGACAGAATTAATATCTATCAAACAGACTATGTCTTCAAATTTTTTTCAGGAGGTTTGCCTGAAAATCTAGCTGTAGTTTCTCATGAAATATCCCAATTAATTGCTAAAATTCGATATCTGTATACAGTTGCAGAAAAGTTGATATTTCCTGAAATGGAAATGTTGATATCTTGTATATGTGATATAAAACAACAACAGCAGATAAATTGGCTGTCTCTTTCCAGTTATACACTGAGGTGCAGAATCATGGAAACATATTATTATACAGCATATTAATATTGAAATGGTTGTGGGTCGCTTGAAACAGTCAAGCAAGAAATTATAATACTTTTAGGAAGCTAATTGAAATGCAAAGAGAATACAATATTAGTTCCATGTCTGATGAAATTTCAGTTGCTGTCAAAGAACATCTGATAGGTTAGCAGACAAATCTGAATCTTTTCCCCCAGCTGATAGCAACAAAGCATGGGTAAGAAATCCTTTCACAATTAATAAATAGAAACAGAACTATTAGATTCAGATTCACTGGGTCCATAATCGAGCTGTCTTGCTATTGTGCTACCATGAGTTTTTCCCTTTTTCGCACCAAAGGTAATAAGGTATAAACAGGTTTGGGTTGCAAAAGAAAAACATTAAAACAACATGATTAAAAAAAAGTTTGGAAAATATTCTGTTCTTGACCATTTTTTCCTTTTTTAAAATTTACCTTATATCTATTTAAAATTTATCTTTCTGACATACGCATATATATATATATTCATTCAGAACTTATGTCAATAGCTAGTTTGCAATATCCATAAAGGAATTTCTTCATAAAACAACATAAATCCATGTTTTTAGAAACCTGTGACACATCTGGCAAAATAAAAAAGTAAATAAATAAAAAAAACCTTCACGTATGATTATTTAACATTGCAAACGTCATTTTAAGAGCACTTTTAGAAGCTTTAAATATATACACTCTTTTACAACATTACTGAATATTTTAAAATATTTATTTATTTATAACTGAACATGTACTGCAATTAAAAGAAACTTTACTAACTTTGGCTTCTCAATATCCCCCATAACTGTTGATTCGCCTAGTTCTTTCTTCAGAAAGGACTCCAACAAATCAGCATCATAAGGACGAGCGCCAACAAACACTTTGTCTTTCAAACGGAAATAAAGACATCGACATTCTTTCATTGATTTACCTTTAAAACAATATTTGAACAAAAGTCAAATTTAGAATAAAATTTATAAATAAAATTAACATCAAATCACACACATCTGTACAGTAAATGCTTATAAGACTTACAGTGCCTATTTATTCTATTGTAATGACCTCAGTTGGTGAAGGTACATAATTCTCATTTCATTATAGTGATTTCTTGCACTCTTTACGGTTGTATTGAAGAGTCATTAAAAGTAATTCTCAACCTTTTTGGTCCATGCACCCCTTACCACATTACTAGAAGGTCATTCCCCTTCCAAAACCAAAAAGATACTACATTTATTCAAATTTAGAACCTTTTTTATGTGTTTTATAAATTAAACAGCAAAAAATAGAGGAAATGTTAATAAATACCAAAACTTAAATTAAATAGTTCTTTTACATACACAAAGTAAAATAAAATAAAGCATACTTCAATTAATACAATGTTCAATAGCTTGTCTAACTGTTAATGAGAAAACCGCAACAGTTTTTTCTTAACTACTTCTTGGATACGCAGAGAAGTGCTTTAAAAGGCACAGTGCAGATCACTTTCAACTTCCAATCTACTTCATTATGGCACTTTTATTTGAACTAGAGCTGAAAATTCAGATTCAGTTATGTTGACATAAATGGAAGCAAAGCATGAACAGCTCTCTCTGCCAATCTTGGGTGATAGTCACAAATCAACAGCCAAAGTTCTGTGACTGATTTCTCTTCAAATATGTCTTTTGCTTGAGAATCAGTCTTCAGCTCGAGAAATTCATCTCGAAAAGTATTAGAAGTTTGTCAACCAACAATTTAAATGGATTTTGCACTAAGTCCAACTTCTCATCAGAAAGTTCAGGAAAATATTCCTAAATTTGTTTTCAAATGCTGCAGAATTATTATGCTAATTCTGGAAATACTTGACCGTTAGTACCAGCAACATGACAAATGATGACAGTTTTTCATATTAATTTTCTGCTTCCAGTTATCTACTAATAGTTTATTCATAAAAGCTTTTAAAGAATCAATGAATTTTATGATATTTGTATTTCTTCCTAACATCTGAAGATTCAATTTATTCAGCTACTCAAAAATATCAACCAAATAAGCAAGGCATGATTCATTTCTCATCATGCATCTAGGCAATATATTCCACTTTTTCCTAATTTTGAAAAATGATTTAAGCTTTGTTCTGAGCTCAAATACTCAGACAATTACAATTCCTTTTGACAGCCATTGAGCATTTGTGTGAAAAAGAAGCAAATGGTCGTCTGCATCCAAGTCAATGCATAACTGTTTGAAAAGTCATGCACCAAGAGCTCATCCCTTGATAAAATTCACAATTTAAATTGTTTGATCCAAAACCATCTCTAATGGAGTTGGAGGAGTTTTTGAAGCTAGTGCTTGTCAATGGATCATACAGTGAATGCTTTTCACTTTTGGAGACAGAAATTTCACTTTAACCTGAATTCCAGATTTTGTCCCCAACATAGATGGTGCTCCATCTGTGCAACACTCACACATACATTATCCCATAAGGAGATTTTCTAATGTAAAGGAAGATGAATTTTTTTTTTTTTTTTTTTTTTTTTTTTTTAATATCTGAGGCTGTATTGGTTGCTTTTAAAAGAGAATCAAAAAGAAACTTCTCTTTAAATGAACTTAAATGAACATATCTTTCAAGTAGCAATGGACAACATGATGCCACATCACGTGATTCATCAAGTGAAAGTAGGCCAAATGCTGCAGACTTAATTTCTCACACAAATTGATCCTTAAAATCAATTGCCATATCACTGATTTGTCTTTGCACGGTACTGTCTGATAGTTGATCAAAGTGTCCCCAGGTGCATGTGTTTTCTTCTGCTTTGCTATCTCTAGTACAACCCACATAGGAAGCTTCAATAACATCGTGTTTCCCCCTCCCCCCTTGTAATGCCCTGTCGACTCTAATTTAGTCTTTTCAAGAGTGTTCCCAGGTTTCTCAAACAAACTTTTGTCCTTATTTTTATGCTGAAGATGAATAATATGTAAATGTTGTTTTAGCTTAGCTGATTTCAAGGAATCATTTGAAAAAACTTTGCAGCATAGAACATTAAGGTCTTTTTCCTCCATTAACAACGACATAAAACCATACTGAATATATGAATCATCATATGTTCCTGTTCTGACATTCATTTTGTTCTACTATTTACAACTATAAAGTTTACAAGGTAAATGTATCAGCAGATAAAAATCATTTTCCACAACTGCGAGTTTCAATTTGAAAGAACAAACAAAGACATAACAAGCTCACATATTAGAGGGCGAAATGAACAAGATTCTACCTTCTCTCTCTCTTTTTTTTTTTACTTCATTTGAACTGCATCAAGGAATAGCTGTAATCAGGATGACCATCTTCCTCCCACTAAAACTATGAAACTCCTCCCCCCAGCCTCTTGAGAACCCTTGTTATAAGGAATGTAAATTGTATTACATAATAAGCATCATTTAGAAAATTTTCTAAATTCAATTTTTAAAAATGGATTAATAAAAAAAAATTCATATTTGATAACAAATAAGTGAACAATTATTGATAATGCTAAATAATGAAAAAACAATTATTATAATTAATGAAAAATAAATGAATAATTAATTTATTGTCACATAAACTAATTTTTTCTTTTATATAAAGTTTCCTAATTTCAGTGTTTGCCAGAGAACAGTATAAAATCTGCACATCATTAAACTTTACCACAAAAACATAATCAATATAAAATTTAACCCCATGAGATTTAAAATATATAAGGGAAATTCCTATTCTAATCCAATCTTTATCTTTAAGTTGACAAGTGGGTCAAATCATCATGAAAAAACTGCACAGGAGTCATAAAATTGTTAATGAAAGCCCATATTATTTTTAGTTTAAAAAATATTGTTATTAAATGAATTCATGTTCCTTATTTAAAAAAAAAATATTTAGCCTGTTCCGGTTTGAATAAATATTTTTTTTCTCTGCCTCTGGATGGCAACATGGAAGAAAAAGTGCATTGATTTAGAGATTGCTAAGTGGCAATAGTGTCAACTTTGGAACTTGATTTTCAATTTGTTTGGCGCAGCTCAAATGCAGCTGATGAGATATTAAATAGCTTCTATATTAGATTAATTTATTTCATATTCTAATAATTTCCTTTAAAACTGTGTTGAATGCTGATTTATACAAAAATACCAGTGAACCACACATGTAGAAATTTAGATGCTGGCATTTAGATTTATGACAGAACTTTGTCAGATATGCTGCTTCATTATTATCTCTACATATAATAAAAGAAAGAGTCTGTCTGTGTGTGTGTGTGTCTTTCGTTCACACTGCGCGTAAGCTAATAGACCCACGGCTACGAAATTTGGTACATAGGTGCATCTAGACAAGAGCCAGTGCACCTCGAAGCGATTTTTTGGAAATTTGAATTATATATATTTTTTTAATTTTATGTTTTGTGACAAAATTGCGTCATTTTGAGACATAATGGGCTATAGGAAAGCGAGATTTTACTCTACACACTCCATTTTCACATCATCATGAAACATAGGCACTTAGCTATTTTACGAACTTAAAATAAATTTCATGTTTCAATAAATTGATTTAATATGAATTTATTTAACAAAAGGGAGATTAACACATTTTCAACACGATATTTTCTGAAAAAATTTTATTTTTAAAAATGTACAGTTTATTTTTCTTTGATTTTTGGACATGTTAAACTTTCATCCTTGCGACTGCTTTTACAAAAAGAATTTGGGAAAAATCTTTTATTATAAACCACCCATTCCTGATTTGTACTAGATTTCATAACCTTTCCATAGTTCACCCAAGTTGCATTCTTTCAGTCATGATGCTTCATTGTGAGTGGAATTTTGTCTCAGATTTCTAACCTACTTCTTGATAAGCTTTTAAGTTAAAATTTTGTACATACACTGTTTGTTGATGACAATGTATTAAACAGATTTTTTCCAAAATTTGATTTAGATTCTTTTTTATTTAATGTTTAAAAGATTTTTTTGCACATATCTTTGTTTAATGAACAAACTAAACAAATTTAAATTTTACTGTTTGCCTAACAGCGACAAAAAAGTTTTTCAATAAAACTTGCATAAAAATTGTTACTAAAATTCTGCATATCTGTAAAATTTTTGAAAAATCACTTTATTTTTTTTTCTATACTTTACTTGGCATTTATGACTAAAATTTCAACATCTAAAAATGTATCAGATATAAAGTTTTGAAATTTTCAGAGATTATGAAAACAACTTTTCACTCTCTTTAAACACGATAACGATAAAAAATTAGGTGCTACTTTGGTAGACGGTTGCACGGATTTTGGCGATTTTTCTTTTGGTGAGTAATATGACTTATGGTAAGCCCATTGCTGGATAAGTTATTTATGGTAACCGATACTTTGCTGTCATTTTATTTAAAAAATAATGCGTTTTATTATGCATAAATTCCGTGTTTTAAATATTATTTATGGCTTCTAAATATTAAAAATCAATTTAATTTTGCATTTTTATTTGAAATAAAAATTTTATTGTTTATGATATTTTATAAAATTTTATGTTGTGGATGATGTAATCAATGATGTCACCTTACTTTAAAAGTAATTAGTTTTAATACCTATAAATTTAATCTAATGTTTTAAACATTATTTATGGCTGTTAAATATTAAAATGCAATTTAATTTTGCATTTTTTTTTTTGAAAAATGATTTTATTATGTATGATTATTTAAATAATTTTAATTCTAGGTGTGATGTAATCTGCTCTCTGATTGGTTGTAGAATATTTGTGCATTAACGAGCGGTAATCAGCTCCCTCATTGGTTACTGAAAATTTGTGTAATACCGCGCCATTTTAAAATTCATATCTCCGAATTTCTTCAAAGATGAATGTTGTTATTGGTAAGTACCAAGAATTATTGGTATCGGAAAAAAAATTGTCCTTTGTACTTCAGGGAGGGGCAGTTAAAGGATCTTCGAT